TGGGCTGCTTTGAAAATCAAATATTTAGAAATATTTTCTGTGATAAAGCTTTGTATACATTTGAAAACTCAAGAATACTGATCAAGTCTCTGGAGACTTTACAGAGAGAACCCCTGCCTCCCATGCCATGTTACCTGATAAGTTTCTAGAAATATTGTGTTTGCATGTCCTGCAAAAGGAGGGAAGATATTCTAATGGCCTTCCTGTTGTTGGTGGAGGTAACAGAGGCAGACAGATCAGAATTTGATTTTCAAAGTATGCACTGTTCTAGAAGGTAAAAAATAATGAGCACTGGTTGGTTCATAAAGTAGAAAAATTGCATTTCACCTGAGGAAGTGTGACTGTTGTGGGAGAAGGACGGGTGTGACACTGTCAGCACATCCAGCTGTCTGCCAGCAGGAACGTGGCTGCTTTATCTTCTGTGGGTGGTGCCTGGCCCAGAAGAGCAGCTCCACACCCTGCAGAGCCTGTGGTGCTCACTGCACCATCACAGCAGCAGCCCCAGCCAGGGCAGGAACAGCCCAGCCTCTCCTGGTTTCTGTCCAAGGGGTTCCCAGCCTGCCAAAGAGCCCCTCCAGAGCCAGCTGCCCAGGCTGGGCCGAGCTGTGCCAAACCCTGGTGAAAATAAACCTGAAAATGGCACTTTAGGCACTGCTGATCCCTGACAAGGCCTGGCTGAGCCTGGGATTGTGCCAGTCCCAGTGGTCAGCAGCTCTCACGTGGGGTATCGTGGCCATCTGAAGTCCTCTGGGGTGTTTAAGGGGTGAAATTCAAGCCCAATTCAGAATGCAGCCCTAAAGGAAGCTCAGCCTGTGCAGAGGCCGTTGGCAGAGCTGCTGCTCATGCAGGACAGGTGCCCTGCTCAGTCCCACCCTGGAGGTGCATGTCCATGGCCAGGGGGCACAGATGCTCGTGGCTTGCCCTGCCTGCCCAGCCTTGTGGCCTTCAGGGACTCTCCCAGGGCCCCCTGTGACTTGTGCTGCTTGTGGTGCTCGAGGCATGGCTGGTCATCCCTGCCACAGGCTGGAACCAGGACTCAAAACTGTGTTTGGTCTCTTGCAGGGCAGCCCCGATTGTTTCACTTTATACAGTGCGTTGTTGTTCTTCTTCTACTTTTCGCAGCAACTCGTTTTTAATTCAGTTACAAACTGCTTGGGACCACGCAAGTTCCTGCACAGTGGGAAGCTCTATAAAGCCAAGAGTAACAAGGAGCTCTATGGTTTTCTCTTCAACGACTTCCTCCTCCTCACTCAGATCATAAAACCTCTTGGCTCTTCTGGCACAGACAAGGTCTTCAGCCCCAAGTCCAACCTGCAGTACAAAATGTACAAAACTGTGAGTGCTGCTCCGACACGGGGATGGGGACAGGGCTCAGCAGCTCCATTCTGGGGGTGTGGGCAGGAGCCTGCCTAGAGAAGAGTTAGAAAGCTTTGGGGTTCAGGGCTGATGGCAGGAAGGGCGGCTGTGTGCTCCAGGGAAATAAGAGAAGATGCTTTGCAGGTTTTGCTTGAATAAAACTCTTCCATGAGGGCTCGTGTGTTAGAGGGAGAGCAGCGTTCACTGCTCTCTGGGGGAGGAAATTCTGCTGTGCTCCAGGCTATGCAGGCACCTCTGTCTCTGTCAGCTTTTAACATTTTCTGCAGAAATGTAGGAGGCAGAAGGGGGAGATACTTTGGGGCATGGAACAGTCCTGCTGTGAGCTGATATGTGCTGAATGCCCCTGTGCAGACTCTGCAGTACAACTCGAGCTCTGCTGATGTTTTACAGCCCATTTTCCTCAACGAGGTACTGGTAAAATTACCCACAGACCCTTCTGGAGATGAGCCCATCTTCCACATCTCCCACATTGACAGAGTCTACACACTGCGGGCTGAAAGCATTAATGAAAGGTAAGGGCCCTTGTGGGCCTTTAAAAAGTCTGGGAACTGTAGGATGGCAATGGTTGTGATGGAAACTTGCACAGCACTCTCCAAGCTGGTTATTTTACAGGACTGGAAAATTCCTTCTTGGGAATATGATGATCTGACAAAGAGGGAGAAATAATATTTCCTGAATTCCAGCTAGACCAGTGATGAAATGGCTGAGGGTGGATGTTTAGGCTGCATTTCACATTTTATGGTGATGTGAAGAAGCCAAGAGATGCAATTCTATCTTCTGCTGCCACCTGGGATAGTGGATGGTGTCCCTGCCCATGGCAGGGAGCAGGACTGGGGGAGCTTTAGGATGCCTCCCATCCCAAACCATGAATGTCCTGTGGAGCAGCAGCTCTTCATTTGGGGCTTCAAAACTGATCCACAGCTTCCAGATTCTCCCATGGTTCCTTGGCTCAGGCTTCCTTGTATGTCACAGCAGTTCTTCAAAGCCCTTGAGGTCACTTTGTAGCCTTTCTGCCACCCTTTTCCTGTCAGCCTTCCCCTCAGCCTCCTTCAGGCACAGGCTGGGAGTGCTGGGTTGGACTCAGTGATCCATGTGGGTCCCTTCCAACTCAGGGTGTTCTGTGACTCTTAACCATGAAATGATTTCCCACAAGGGCCCATTCACCACCCCTGGACTCCCCAGGTTATGCTTTTAAAGCCCTGAGAGTCAGAAGAGTTGGGTTGGAAATCTTGGGGACCAAGGACAGTGGCCACCTCAGCAGCAGCAGCGTCTTGTACCTCCTGCCTCCAAGAAATCAGTTTATTTCAGGAAAACAAGAGGCTGGATGAAAGCAAACCTGTTCTTGAGACCTTTTGTTTTCTCACCAAGCATCTCCTGCTCATGGTTCTCTTGTGCTTTCTCTGTGTGCTGGAGTTTGCTGCCTTGGGATGGTTCCATTCTGCAGGTGCTGAATTCAGTAAAATCCCTTCCAGGCAGACAGCTGTGGGATGGCAGAGCCTGGGATGGGGCCAGAGCCTTGGCTGGGAAGGAGGGACAGCTTTAGTTTTGTCAGCTGTGCTCCAGCAGGGAAAAACAGGAATGGCATTTTGCAACTTTTCTTTCTCCTTTCCCTTCCAAGGACTGCCTGGGTTCAGAAGATCAAAGCTGCTTCAGAACTTTACATAGAGACTGAAAAGAAGAAGAGGGAAAAGGCCTACTTAGGTACAGCACAGGATATGGGGGGTGGTCTCATCTTCTGTGGAAAAGTCCCTGGGCAGGAAAATTCACTGGTGACATTTCTCTCTGCTCTCCTGATCCACCACAGTTCGCTCTCAGAGGGCAACAGGCATTGGGAGGCTGATGGTGAATGTTGTGGAAGGCATTGAGCTGAAACCCTGCAGGTCCCACGGTGAGTGCCTTGGCTTTCCTTGCTCCATCCAGAGGACATTCCCATTTGCCAGCCTAACTCTGCAGGGGCTCTGTGCCAGACATGATTTTGTTAAATGATGTGGGTTTAATGAAGGTAAAATAGGCAGAGGTGACTTTGTGCAGCTGAACCACGGTCCTGCAGTTGTCCTGCACAAGGTTTTGTTTCAGGCTGGCTTCGTTTCCACCACACAAGTCATAAAGTCCTGAAGGGAAGGGTGGAGGGTGCTCAGCACCCAGCAGAGTATTCACTGTGGTGGTGATGTAGCCCATTACAGAGGCAGTGAAGCAGAGGATGGGGCCAGGGGCCTGGTGTGGCCAAGGTCTGTCCCAGCTCAGGTGGCTGTTGGAGCAGAAGGAAGCTCAGGAGCAGGAGCACACAGCTAACAAAGCCCCGCTCGTTCCTGTTTGTTCCCATCTTCCCAGGAAAGAGCAACCCCTACTGCGAGGTGACCATGGGCTCCCAGTGCCACATCACCAAGACCATCCAGGACACCCTCAATCCCAAGTGGAATTCCAACTGCCAGTTCTTCATCAAGGACCTGGAGCAGGACGTGCTGTGCATCACGGTGTTCGAGCGGGACCAGTTCTCCCCGGATGGTGCGTACGGGGCTGCCCCTGCCAAGGGCGTTTGCAGAGCTCTTTTTTGAGGAGGAGCATTCCTGCTGAGGGAAAGCAGAGGGAATGGGCTGGGCTGGGAGATGACCTTTAAAGATACCCCAGACTTGACCCTCTTTGCATAGGAGGAGTCAACTTAACCTCACTCCACACAGTATCAGCACAAAAAGCATGCAGCTCCCTCTGGGTTTTGAGAGTTCCTTTTCTTGTGCAGTTGACAACAACTAAAATGTGATTTGTAATTCTGCTGAGACTCCAGAAAGCTCTGGATGCTGCTTGCACACAGATGGGTTCAGGCAGGAGGAAGAGGAATTACTTTGAGTTCCTGTTATATGCAATAACAGCAGCAAAAATGAGCCCAGGATCCCAAACCCAACAGTTTGGCTGGGAAAGGACCTTAAAGATCATCCAGTTCCAGCCCCTTCCATGGGTAGGGACACTTTCCACTATCCCACGTTGCTCCAAGCCCCATCCAGAATTTTGCATCAGAAATGACAGACATACTTATGTATTTTTTGAAACAAAACAGAGATACACACTTTAGTTAGAAACACTTGAACACTTCCAGGGCTGGGGATTGCACAGCCTCTCTCATTCTTATTTCCTAAGCTGGGATGAGCATGTGGAGCACCACAGGTGTATTCTGGAGTCACAATCTCAGGCACTGTTTGGGTAGGACTGGTACTGGCTCATTGACCTCGTTGCTGGGCTGATGACCTGCTTGGCTCTGTCATCTCCAGCAGGTTCACCCTCAGGTTTAACTGAGAACTTTGGCCTTTGGCCTTATTTTATATCATACAATCAAGAAGTCCCTGAGGCAAGGCAGCTGTGAATTCCATAGTGGGTTTTTCCACTCATGGGCCCATTTAGTTTTATGCTGCTGCTGCTGTTTAACATGGTCTGGCTGAATGCCCTGCTATGCAGCTTGGCAGCCTTTGGCCTCCTTCAAGAGCACAACTAGAGCAGGACTGAAGGCTTGTTTTCTCTTTGGCTGTGTGTGGGTGGAAGTTGAGGTCCTTCTGCAGGCTCTGGTTGCCCTCTCCTGAGCACGCTGTGTTTCTGCATTCCAGACTTTTTGGGCAGGACAGAGATCCGTGTGGCAGACATCAAGAAGGATCAGGGTTCCAAGGGGCCAGTTACAAAGTGTCTCCTTCTGCACGAAGTCCCCACAGGAGAGATCGTGGTGCGCCTGGACCTGCAGCTGTTCGATGAGCCTTAGGAGAGAGGGGCCAAAGTCAGAGTTGAGCCAGAGGTCGCTGCAGGAGGTGTCTGCAGAAGCTGTCACCGAGTCCTTGCTGGTGTGGCATGAAACTACTGCTCGCCCTTCACACGTCAGAGGGTTATCAAAGCAAACAGGAGCAGCTTTGTGCCTTGATAATTCTCACTGAACACACGAATCCCAATTTAGTGAGGAGATCTCCCTCAATCTCCCTGTGTGGAACTTGGCGTTGGTTTCCTGGGCTGGTGAAACAACCCTGTTGTTCCTTGTGCTGCAGTGGGGATAGCTGGCAAAACACATGGGTGGCTGTGCTTGCTCCAGCTGCCCTGCTCTTTGATTCCCGTGGAGGAGGCAGTGTGGGTGTGTTTTGGAGGCTTTCTGAGGGTTTTCCCCTTCAGGAGTTCTGTGCCTATTGCCTAGCAGAGTGGTGTGTAAATGTGAGTGAATGGAAGGAGCAGTTTGCAGCAGGAAGATCTCTGAAGGTCTTCATGATGGTACTGAAAAGACTTAGAAAATAAATAGTCTATATCTATAAACAGAGAAGATTCTATTAACATACCACTTCATGACTCGTGTTGCCCCTGAAAATAAAAGCTGTCCAGGCCTTCTGCACAAGGATGAATTGCACTCCAGAAGAGTCCAGCCCTGGGTCCCTGTGGGAGTTGCTGTTGTCCCCAGGGCTGCAGTGCTGGGGCAGGAAGCCAAGGGTGAGGCACAGAGCCCTGCTGGTGTCGTGTGTCCCTCCCGGGTGCTCCTTCAGTGCTGCTGCTCCAGGCCGAGCCTCCCCTGCAGTGGGGGAGGAGAAACAATCGTGGCTGCAGCTCAGGAAGGGACGGTCCAGCCTGCAGGGCCTGGTGTGCCCAGCACTGGGTGGTGCCCGGGCACGGAGCTGAGCTGAGCTCTCCTGTGAGCAGCCAGGGCATGGGGGCTCAGGGCGTCCCACGGGGCAGCTGCTGGGTGCCACCAGAGAGCTCGTGGTGCTCTGCAGAGTGGCGACCCCAAAGCCATCCGGGGAATGCAGGGCTCTCCATCCCTTTCTCTCCATGGATAACAACGTCCAGGCCCACGTCCCTGTTTGGCAGAGCTCCCGGGCACAACGTCTGCTTTCCCTCAGGCACACGTGTGAGTGCCCTGCTGAGCCTGGACTCGGGGAACAAAACATCCCTGAGAGTCAAATTCCTCTTTGTTCTGCTTGGATTCCTTTTGTTCATGCCCTGCCACGCATCCACTGGTATTTTTGTAAGGACTTCATTCCGGATGGGAGGTGCCAGCCCGTGTCATTCGCATGTGAACGTTCTGTGGAGCTGTTGTTAGGTTTTGGTGTTCCTTGCATGTCCTTTCAGTACTGGTTCCCACCTCTCCTGTGTCGGCGGTGTTCTCTAGCACTCCAAGTCTTATTGGTTTCCATTAGGAAATTAGGATATATCCATAACAGGTAGGTAGGTCAGTATGGTAATAAGTGTAAACTGTGCTGGGAAGTGTCTGTGTATTATAATTTCCTAAAAGACCACTGTAATGTTTCAAGCAATGGGAAGGAAAAAAATGTATGTTGGAGGGACAACAAAGTTTACATTTCATACTTTTCAGAATCGCTTTATTATTTATTTATTGAAGATAGTGTAGAATTTTGTATCAGAAATGACAGACATACTTATGTATTTTTTGAAACAAAACAGAGATACACACTTTAGTTAGAAACTTTCAACTGACCACATTTTAGAGGGAGTGTGACTTCCTAGGCATGCATTTGTTTACCACTAACTGGCTGAAAACACGATTAAGAGAACTTTAAGTTTCTATTTTTCAATGTTGTTAAGAAAATTGTTTCAATTAAAATATGTAAATAGTACTAAACCCATGCTTTCCTAATTCCATATCAATACATTTTATTAAATATAATGTATATGAAAATACACATTGTTGTGGTAGGATAAAAAAAAGTGATAAAATCTATTACTGGAGTACCATTAAATGTCATTGTCTAACCTTTTATTGCTGTCCTAATTTTACTCAGTGCTGCCAACAGGGTGAACATTCATTTCAGTGTTTCACAAGTAGCATCGCTCTGTTTGTTAATAGTGTCATTTCACCAGCATCAATTACAGTGACAGCTGAACTGGCCAACAGGACAAAAAAATCTCCTGGCTGGAATGCAGGAACCTTGGGCAGGGTTTGGAGGGAGCCCCAAGGAGCTGCACCTGCCTGAGGCTCCTTGCTGGAAGTGGGGGACCCTTCACTCAGGGGCCCCCCTCAGACTGAAACCCATGTCATGGACGTCAGAGAATCCCAGAATGGTTTGGGTTGGAAGGGACCTCAATGCCCACCCAGTGCCAGCCGTGCCATGGCAGGGACACTGTTCACTGTCCCAGGTGCTCCAAGCCCCATCTAACCTTGGGCACTGCCAGGGCAGTGCTGTAGCAGCCTGTAGGATTGCCCCGTTTTGGGGCACTGTGACAGAACAAGCACGAGCACCTTCCCAGCCCCATCACTTGGGATGTCCCACTGCCCCTGGATGCACAGCAGTGCTGAACTCCTGCCAGGGCCAGGCTGGAGTTTGGCTCACAGAGATCCAATGAATCCCTCACAATCCCTGCTAAAGGGGAAGCTCAGCCTGTCCCTGTGCATGGAGGACAGGCTGTGTCCATGCCCTGGTGACAGTGTCACTGCCCTTGGAGATGGGTGGCACACCAGCACTGCTGGCTTCCCAGACAGAGCTGTGCTCTCTGGAGTCACACAGTCCCCAAATCCCTGAGGATTCTGGCACAGCCCTGCCAGCCCATGCAGTGCCAGCTGTGCTCCACAGGCACCTTGTGCCCAGCTCAGAGCACTCAGTGCCACCTCCAGGGCACACCTGCAGGGATGGGCACTGCAAAGCTCCCTGGGCAGCCCCTGCCAATGCCACAGCACTTGAAGTGCTGTAAAATAAAACCACCCCCAGGCTGGCCTTGGCTCAGAAATGCTGAGAGCCTGCCCAGGGGAGAGCTGATGGAAAGCCAGGCAGGAAATCCAGGAGAGGCTGCTCAGAGCTGGGGAAGGGACTTGGGCACCTGGAGACAGAGCCCAGCTCTGAGCTGACACTGAGCCAAATAGCTGAGTGATTGCAGCAAGGTTTTTTCTAGATGCACTTAATTATTCAGTATTTTCTCAATGTGAGTTCTTATGAAGGCACTTTTTCAATGCTCGTTTTACAATTTTTTTACTCTTTAAAAATAATTCACTTTTTGTTACATGTGAGGAGGATTGGGGTGAGAAACATTGTGGGTAAAGGAGTTTTTTCTTACATTCTCAAAACTGAGATGTGACAACTCCAGATTCTGACTCCAACAGCAGTGCCTGGTGCCAGACTGCTCTGCTTGTCACAGTGAGATTCCAGTTCATTCAAATCCAGCAGTCAAAGCCCTTGAAACAGGGAGAAGCTGGGAACCAGGAGAAATTGCTTTGAGGGTTTGCTCTGTGTGTACATTCCACATCTGCCCTTGCTTTGTTCAGCCTCTCCACTCCTGTCCTGTGTGCACATTGCTGTATCCAGAGTTCAGTACATGCTTATAGATATAAGATATAATATAGATATATTATTATTGTACATGTAGTACAAAACCACAGCTCTGCTGTCATTGTCAAATACAGAGGAAATCTCACAGAAAAGTGTTTAAAGGCACCTGGTTTTGTTTGTTCATTTAAATATTTTAAAAGAAGGAGTGTCCTCAGGAAATTATTTTTCTGTATGTAGGATATATTTAGGATCTCATTAAAAAAATAAAGAACTGCAGTGAGAGTCTGTTAAAGGGCCCTAATTACTTGATAGAGTAGTCAAAGGCTCTGCTGTGGCTGTGGGTCAATTCCTTCAGGGAATCACAGGATGCTTTGGGGGGTCCTCAAATCCCACCCAGTGCCAGCCCTGCCATGGCAGGGACACCTTCCACTGTCCCCAGTGTCCAGCCTGGCCTTGGGCACTGCCAGGGATGCAGGGGCAGCCCCAGCTGCTCTGGGCACCCTGTGCCAGGGCCTGCCCATCCTCTGAGAGGTGCTGCTCCCTCTTCTCCATCTCACCCTGGATTTTTAGTGCAAATTTTGCTTTTTGCCAAACAAATGGTATAGACTATATTCCTTTTCTTTTTCTCTTTTAAGACAACCAGAGAAAAATTCCATTGTCTCTAGAATTTGTATGATACTAAAAATTATGAAGGCATTATAAAAATTTGTCAGGCACTAGAAGATAAACTTACCCTTTCTTTCAAGAAAATGCAATTAATTTGTATTGTTGATTTACAGCACATTTAACTATTCCTCAATGAAATATCTGTACTGTGAAGATGGCTCCTTTTGGTTTTTAAGGCATTTGTAACAGGTATGCATCAGGCAGCACTGTTTCTCATAATGCAATTTTAACTGATTTCAGTTCTGTGAATGTCTTGTTGCCTCAGTCCCTCCTGGTTAAACAATTCTATTTACAGACAAGCTAAAACTAAACAAGAGTCCCTAAACTGTGTCCCCCTGTGTGAGGGCTGGTGCTGCTCCAGCTGTGGTGGCACAGCTGGTGTGGGGCTGTGCAATGTGGGACACAGCAGAGACTGGGCTTGTGCAAGCGAATGATGCAAGAATAAATGTAAATGATGCAAGAATAACTTTTTAAAGTTTACCTGTGTGCTGTCACTTTTCTGAGAAGTGCTGGAGAAGAGGGAGATGGAGTCAGGACATCTGCAGATGAGTCACTCTTCCCTCAAGCTCCGACCTCTGCTCCTGGCACAGGGACAGCACCCAGGGAGCGGCTGG